GTGTTTAAAACATTTAATTGTTTTTACGTCTTCTCCACGGAGAAAAAGACAAGTACTTATCAAAATTAGAAAGATTTTAAAAAACTTTTTATTATATAAAAATATCAAAAATGCAAAACCGAAGACAACGAAAACGAAAGGCGGTTCTTCCAGTTTCCATTTCTGCAACTCCTTGTCCTAATCGTCTATATATATACACACTTGGAGCTCAAGTTCTTGTGCTACAACAAAAAAACACAATAAATACTTGTACTATTCAAAGCTTAAAGATTTTTCTCTCATTTGTTTCATAAATTCGGGTTCTACACGGTTTTTTTTTTACATATTCTTCTTCTTTTGGGCGATTCCAAATTCTTGATTTTTGCTTTCTTTCTATTTCTGCTTAAAACCTTTCAAATGGATTACTTGAGAAGAAGAACAGAGTTTGAAGCTAATTTCGATTCGTTGGAGCAAGAAGAAGGATCAACAATATCGGAATCTGGAAGTTGTGATTCGTATTCACCACCACGACCGTCTTTAGCCGACGAACATGGGCTTATGGAATTGCTTGAAGGAGACAAAGCTTACGATCTGATCTACCGTAATTGTAAATCTGGTCTTCACGATCAATGTCAGATTCTCTCCATTCTTCGAAACGGATTCCGACACGTTGGATCTCGTGCAAAGCTCAAGACTTTTCAGGTTTTTCAAGAGGCGGTGGAGTTGAAACACGCCGGAGATGGCGGCGCAGCTAAGGTGAAATACGGTTGGTGCACCGTCAAGAGAACAGAGCTGAAATCGATTCTTGAATACGGTTTTAGCGAACCGAGAAACGATGGATCTTATGGTCGTGGATTGTATCTATCGCCGGATAATACTTCTCTTCTTGAATGGTAACAATCTTCTGATTCTTGAAAATTTCGATTTTTCGGAAATATTTTTAGGCTTCGAATGGGGATGGATCGTCTCAGACCGTCCCCATTCTAAACCTTTTAGTTTCTCATTGGTCTCATTGTGTGTTTTTGTGTGTGTTTCTTTTAGTTTGAAGGATTGTCCAGCTTCAGAATCAGAAGATGATGGGATTAGATTCTTGTTGCTTTCGAGAGTTTTACTTGGAAAATCAGAGATTGTTTCTAAAGGGTCGACTCAATCGTGTCCGAGTTCTCAAGAGTTTGATTCAGGTGTTGATGATTTAGCTTCTCCGAGCAAGTATATTGTGTGGAGTACACACATGAACACACATGTTTTGCCTGAGTTTCTTGTCTGCATCAAAGCTCCATTAAACTTAACTCGTAAGTTCGAGAAAAAACGATCTTTCTTTCTTGTTCCACTGTTCTTGATTCTTGTTTTGTTGACACGATTATCGTTTTTGCAGGAAGTGTAAAGAGATTGAGATCACCATGGATGGCATTTCCTGTATTGATCAAAGCGTTGTCAAAGTTTCTACCTCCTTCGCAAATCTTTATCATTCAAAAACACTACAAAGATCAACAAGTAAGTG